TATCTACAGGCCATATCTGATCCCGTTTCACTTTGATTACCCTGTCAAACAAGTCAGCCTTCGCCCCTGATAGTCAAGTGTGATTCCCTGGACAGAATGCTCTACATCTGTCTTTGCTTAAGCACAATCCTTAATTGAAATTTTTAAAATTAAATTATTTTTTTTTACATCAATTCTTATAAATCAATAACATCTTACAGTAAAAATGTTGTGTCATCAGCATACTGTCTGATCTTAGTACAATAAGTTGAATTGGGCATTTTAATGCTCTTATTGTTAGGGTCTTGTCTTACTTTTATTGCCAATATTTCTACGCAAGAAGAAAGAATAATGGTGATAGTGGGTTTCCTTGAGGGAGTCCCCTCTGTACTTCGAGTTCAGAGGTTGTAAAACCATTGTTTTTGTCACATGCCATTCTAGAATTCCTCAATGTTTCAATCCATTGCATAAAGACATCACTAAAACCAAAAGCTCTTCACGTTTTCACAAACGTACTTTTAGAAATAGTATCAAATGCCTTTTGATAATAAATTGAAAGTACAATATCTTTAGATTTTGCATATTTTTGGTGTTCAATTAAATCATCCAATTCTCTTAACAGACTGGTAATATCTCTACCTTTCTTGGGTCCATACTGATTTGGGTGTAAAACACTTTGAATGACCTTCTGTAACCTAATTGCTAGTAGTATAGCTAATATTTTATCATCTGCATCCTCAAGCGTAATAGGGCTCCGGTCTTTTAGCTCCTCCCTGCAGAGTCCCTTCCCTTTATGAAGTAAAGTGATCCTCCCCTTCCCCTGAGAGAGGCTGGGGAAACCAACTTCTTGACTATATATATATATGTGTGTGTGTGTGTGTGTGTGTGTGTGTGTGTGTGTATGTGTGTGTGTGTATGTGTGTGTATGTGTGTGTGTATGTGTGTGTGTGTGTCATATATATTCAGATATTTTGTTGTTGTTGGTTTGTATTTTCCACCGAACCAAAAACTAAAAAAAAACAAAATAGAAATATGTCAAGCTTTTTGAGATTTGAGACGGGCATCTGGAATGGTTATAGATCTAAGCCTAGATACTAGATCTATATCTTTAATTCTCCAAGCTGACTAACAACCCAGACAGCATGACTTCCTCGGCTGACTGTGCGGCATTGAGTCGGCAAGGCGGACAAGCGGATTACGATGTTTAACTGACGTAGGGCCGACGTCAAATAACGACTCAGCGGTTGCCGACCCATTGCCGATACTCCGTTTTATAGCGTTGTC